GCTGCATTTTAATTTTAATTATTTTAATTGCCTTGCAATTATGATGACAACAATTGTTTGAGGCATTAATGAAAGCCAAAAGAAATATGAATCATGAAGTATGAAATATGAAAAATGGGAAATGGCAAATGGGAAATGGGAAATGGCAAATGAGATGGGAACTTAATACGAGTGCGCCTGCAGCACGGCCAAAAAGCACTCGTAGCCCACGCTAAAATCCTCAAAATTGCTCACATTCGTTTGGAGATTCGCGTCTTCTTGACAGCTGAAAAGTAGGCTATGGTAATTTTCATTTGGGCCGAGCTTTAATTTCTTTTCCTTTTCATTATTATTATTATTATTTATGCCTGTCTTGCCCCTTATAGAAATATATATGTATATATGTATATATAATAGGCTATTGTTTTGCATGGGTTTTGCGCGGGTTGCTGCGCCCTTCGCTTTTAATTTGACTGGCTAATTTGGGGTTGGCACAATTAGCAAATGCTCAATGTTTAATTATGCATTAATTGCATTTAATGCTCATTTCCGCTTCAAGTATAATGAATAATGCGCAAAGTTCGTGCCAGCACGAGGTGGGACACGCCCCCAGTTAAAGTCTTTTTAATGCCTGCCACATTTACAGTTATTTATTTATGGTGCCACACAACAAGCTCGCAAATTGAACTTGAAACTTGCCCCAAAAATTTAAGATGATAAAAAATAACCGACACCAAACTTTTTTCGAAATTTTTTGTTGTTAAAGTTGTCTTTTGCGCAAGTTTTTTATGTATTTTACGAGTTGTTGACCCATTTTTGTCTACAGTTTGTTATGGATATGGCGCGCGCACTTGGATGCCCATGTACACGCACAGACGCACACGTACAGTCACTGCAAAATATTTTCGCCCTCTTGTGCAAGAATGGCATTTTTGATGACTCTATGCAGCGCCCCAAAATGCCGCATCGAGCTGGCTGCTACAAAATAGTTAACAACACACTCGCACACACAAACATTCAGCGACAGTAAATTGAGCGTATTTTTGTGCAAAAGTTTTTCTTTTTTACCTTTTTAAGCTGCGCGCAATTGCCACAAAAAAATACTTGTACAATTACTATTGTATTTATACATGTATCTGACTGTTGTGTGTATCTGTGTGTGTGTCTCCCTCTATTTATTGCACAAATGGCTGCCAAAAAGCAGCATCTAAATAGAATTTTATTAAAATCGCTTGTTAAAAAGTTTTTCGTGCATTGAAAAAAAGTTGTTACCATTCGCAACTCTGCATCCCCACCTACCCCCCTCTCTGCCAAGGCACGCCCTCTATGCATTTGTTGTATTGACCCTTGGGCTTGTGGCAACGGAAATTGGATGGACAGCGCGCAATAAAGCATACAAAATGCTCGTCAATAACATGCAACAACTACAACGCGAAACGACAACGAAAGCCAATCAAAAGTTTGTTGTGTGCGGCAACTAAAAATAAATAAAACACAAAAAACTACAAGAAAATAAGTAAATAAAATGCAAAAACAAGAAAAACCTGCCGCAATCGGCTTTTGTATTGAATTTTCTCTTTGTTTTTCCCAGCATTTTTTATTTAGCCCAGCTCTGCCACGCAATTACAAGCTCCTCTGCCCCCTATCTGCGTCTGCCTGTCTGCCCGCCTGCATTTAGACAGTTTGCATATGCGCGCAGCTGTCGAAAGATCGAGCGATAAGCGCTTTCCACTAAACCCACATGGTGCCGCCTCTCCGCCACCCACTGCCGCTTAAAAAATGGCTAAACAAATCGCAGCGCAAATAAGTATGCTACAATTTTTGCATTGGCAGTCAGACAGGCGGAAAGGATTCGCGCTGCCTACCTTCGGCTGTTGGCAGCTTGGGCAGGACATGTAGTTAGCATAAATTTGCCATAAATTTGCTAACAAGTGATTTGTTGCCGTGCGGCGCGCACACGTCCGCTCTCCCCCTCCCAACGACCAACCCACCCCCTCCCGAACATAGCTCCCGGCCACTGCTTGGCCATAAATTAAACGCCGCTTTTTTATTTTTGCAGCTTTTGCTCTTTCTTTTGCAGTTGTTGTTTTTTATGTGTATTTTGTAAAAAAGGTAAAATGTAAACAATTATCTGCGCGCTCGCAGCTGCTGGCGCTGCAGCAACACACACACAGACACACACACACACGCATACAAAGTCAACACACAACCGCAGCAGCCGCAGAGCAGGCGCCACACACGCAGTCACACACACACACACACACATGACAGGCAGCTGAGATTTATGCGGCACAAACATACGCACGCACACAGCAAACACACACACACACATACACACGGCAAACATGCCCAGTTACACACAGTCACACACACATACGCACACACACACACTCACACTCAGCGCGACACTTTGGCAAAGGAATTCACATGCTTTTGATTAATTGCCGCAACATTTTATATATATTTTTTTTATTTTTCCTACTCTTTTTTTTGTGCTATGTGTATTTTCTTTTGGCTTGCAACTTGCCAGAATCGGCCAGACACATTTTTGCCAGTGATGGCTTCACTTCAGCCACACCCTGCCACAACCCTCTCGCCCTGACCTGCTGTATGTAGAAGCCCCTTTTGCTTACACATTCCGCTTTATGCTTTTTTGCAACATTTTGCTTTAACACTGCACGGTTCAGGGTTTATTTGCCGACACGTCGCAGCAGTCTGAAAGAGAACTACAGCCATCATAAATATCATAAAAAAAAGAGAGGAGCAGCGGGGCGATATAAAGGAAAGAGACAGCTAGCCAGCTGAAGATAGAGCTGGCTAGATGGTTAGATGCTACTGCTCCTCCTGTACAAGAGTTCAATTCCAGCTCAGTTCAGTTTTCTACGCTCGCAATTTATGCGTCATTTATGCCTTACACTTTGTGCTCGACTGTTGCAGCTTTTATTGAATAGATATATTGATTACATAACCTATTGCAGAGTACTTTTAAAATATATGACTACAGCTAAAACGGAGCCTCGGTTGCAAATATGCCCAGGCATCAAAAATGATGCGCATCATTTTTTCAAATGAGCAGAAATCATTTTTGCGAAAAAAAAATCAAAACTTCTTAGAAGTCAGGCAAAGATTTTCAATAGAAAAATATATTTATACATATCGAAGCCTAGTAAATTTTCGTGACGTAATTCTTGGAAATTCTCTGACAGCAGCTGCTGTTTGGCTTCTCTCGCTCTCTTCCTCTCTCTCTATATCCACAATAGACTTTTTTATTTGTGGCGCATTGCGTATACGCCGCATTGTACATTGCGATAGCAATTTAAGCGAGTGTTTTTGGCCAATTGCTAACGATTTACCAATTTACTTTGTAGTTAATTTCCACATTTGTTCTAGCTCTTCTTCTCGTGCGTCTGTCAATATTTGCCACAAAGCTTTTTACTTGCGTTTTTCCTCTACTTTTTGCTTCTTTTTGGGCCAATAAATACAATTTTCTATCAATTGAAAATTGATTGATACACGCGAGTACAGAAGGCAGCCAAAAAAAAAAAAAACAAGAGTAAATAAATAAATAAATAAATGAAAAGAGCAGCGCGCAGCTTTCTCAGACTGAGAGACAACCCTTATTCGATACTCTGTTTCGCAGGCGAAAGCAGTATATAATGTGTTTTGTAAATATTTGATGCATAAGAAAAGGCTTCATGAAGTATGGTTAATGTTCATAAACGCGGGCATATCATTTACAATAAATTATCTCCTCTCCACGCCTTCCGCCTCTCTTAGAAGCAATTATAAAGATAAGCCCTAATGATTATGAGAACAGCTGATATAAGTTTTAAATTTAGATAAAAAGAACCACAACTGTTTAAAATATACAAAAATCATTTACAATATACAAGCAAAAGATCAAAACCATAAATAATTATTGCCACGCCTGCTTCGACAGCTGCAAATAAATTTGTATCTTTGAAGCGTGCAGGAATTCAAAATTTAAATTGCAAAAAATAATTTTATAAAACTTAGGTTTGCAGATACTTATTAAAAAATTTGCCCACAAATGCGCCTCATATATATATAAAAAAAAACCTCTAACTTATAGACATTGCTAGCGTAGGATAGTCCGAGTTATTCTACTCGTTGACTGGGCTTTCACATATTTTGGCCCAATCCCTTCTCCTGCCTTTTTAGGAGTCAACAAAAACTCTTGCCCATCTGCTTGAAGCTGTTAATACACTGCAAATAGAGTATTCAACAGTCAGCAGTTCTTGCTCTTTTTTGCAACTTTTTTTTGGCTGTGTTTTTATTTTACGATGGCTTTCATTTTGCTGCCAAACTTTACCAGGCTAGTGAGGCTGCAGGCTCCTAAGGCTTCAGCTACTAGCTGTTTGTATGTGTGTGTGTGTATGTATTCATAAGGTGTGCGGGTGCTTGTGTGCGCGAGCTGGGTGCTACCTCTTAGCTAAAACGTAGACGCTGTCGAAATCGAAATGATTAATGGTCATTTGAGATTAGCTAAAAGTCGACGGATACACACACACACACACTCGCAGACTCACACACAGAGCGTGGGCGTGGCATTCAGTTAGGTAAGAGGCCCTTTACATGTTTTTTTGTTTGCTTGTCTATTTACAGTTAAGCAGCCAATTTGAACTTTGAACCTGGGATCAATCAATCTGCTATTACGTTTATTATTATTGTTGTTGTTTTTCTTGTTCTTCTTATTGTTGCTTTCTACACGTAATTGCTTTTTGATTTTCGTGTGCCCCCCTTTTTTTATGTATTCGATTTCGAGTCTTAAGTTTGTATCATTCTCTTTTAAAAAATTGCATCATCATCGCGTTGTCGTCGCCGCTTGATGGATTGACAAACATTTGTTTGGGACGAGAAAGCGGGCCGTGCGGAACGCACGACTGGCCAATATGAGATGCTGGCATATGTTAATACATTTTAGGCTAGGCTCTCAATTGTGTTTGCCTGATGGCGCCGTATTACTGACTGCTTCTTCTTTCATTTTTTTTCCTCTGCAGGTATCCTGGATACGCAAAAAGGATTATCATCTGCTTACGGTCGGCCTAACAACCTACAGCAGCGATGAGCGCTTCAGTGCCACGCACTTGAAACATTCCGAGGTGGGTTCGCAGCTAATTTGCATTTGGGCCAGCTGCCGCGCGGCGCTGTGTTGCATGCCAAATGGCCAACACTGCGTATACGTGACAGAAATGCGCCGAAACGAACGGCTGCCTCTAACCTTAAATAAACCAAAACTGCAGCTGTGCACTCAAAACAATTGGCTGTTGTTTCTCATTTGTTGGCTTTTGCTTGTTTTCTTTTGTGCAGGATTGGACATTGCAAATCAAATTTGTGCAGCTACGTGACGCCGGCGTGTACGAGTGTCAAGTGTCCACACATCCGCCCACATCCATATTTCTACACTTGAGCGTAGTCGGTAAGTAAAAAGAAGTCACTCGATTAAATGAGAGGGATATAGAGATAAAATGAGATCCCCACTAAAAACGACAACTATATCACAATAAAAGCCTTTTTAATTTTTAAAAATATCTTAAGCAGATTTACAAGCTTCACTAAAAAATTCCTATTAGCAGCGGAACAATATATATAATATGGCTCCCAGGAAAAAATAACAATAGTGGAATAAAAACCAGGAATAACAATTTATATTGTTATTTCTGAAAGAGTTATTAATTACTCAAATTATTATAAAGAGAGTTTTTTGCATCTATATGCATAAATATTGTTGAAAGTAATAGTACATGATTTACACTTCTATCTCTATAAAGTTGAAGTCGTTACGTATATCCGACCGTAGTGTACATCATATAATCATGTAAGTTTCAAATACCCACGTTATATGCAAATGTATACAACGGGAAAAAAGACCCGCTTAACTACTTATGGCTGAGCTCTTAAATATGCCTGTATCTGATTAAGTGTGTCGCCCTTTTTGCCTGATTCATGCGAGGCGTTACCAGAATGTGTAGCAGACTATTTTTTTTTTTTGTTTAATGCGCTGTCGCATCAGTTTCAGTTAGTCAGCGAGTGTGTGTGCGAGTGTGTTGGGGCTTTGTTTTTGTGCAGAAAACGCCATTAGGCGCAGCACATTCAAAGTAAATTGTTTGTTAAATTCAGAATAATGTGTGTCAGTTAGCGTTAGGCAAGGCCAACAATACGACAACGTGGAGAACAGCAACAACAACTGCAGCAACAACAACAACAACAACAACAAAAACAACGTTAACGGGCACGTCGACAACGTTGTTTCGGGCAACTTGCTGAGTCGCTGCCATTTGGGCAGGTGTCCCTTTTTTATACCTTTTCAGTTTGTGCCTGTTTTCGTCGTTTTTTTTGTTTTTTTTTTTGTCGTAACTGCTTCGCCTGCCAACTCTGCCGACTGGCATATGGACATTTCTAATTTCAGCATGAGCGCATCGAGCAAAAAAAAAACAAACACACTCAAATGGCAGAAGAAGAAAAAGAAGCTGGCTGAACAAACTGTACGAGTCAGTTGATGCGCTGTGTTGACCCAGTGCACTGTGCCAGAGTTGCCAGCGTTGACATGATTTTGGCCAAAAACAAACAAAAATTGTGAAGTTGAGATTTTTAAAAGCTTGGCCGAGCAATTTATTTTTTGCTTCAGCAAGTAGATAGTTTGAATGGCTTAAGCCATCTAAGCGTGAAATTATCAGCCAAGAAAAATGGTTGCCGAAGACTTAATGCCCTTGCAGACATACTTGACATGCTAGTTGAATTTTACCATGATCTCATCCAAGGCTTAAAAGATGTTCTATCCTTTCCTTTCGACTATATGGTATACCTGATAAATCTGCTTAGATCTGCTTCAAAGTGGAAAGTTTAAGAAAGCAATTCTTATTGCTTATTGATCCAAATTCAATATATATACTTAATGGGATCAAAAATGTCTGCTTTTATTACCTTACTAAATAAGCTTAAGCTTAATTATAAAAAGCTTTAAAACTAATTCTAGTGACATATTTTCTCTTTAAAACGCTTCAGTAAATGTTGAAGCACATAATTGAAAATTATTTCAAGTTCACTTTTGTATTCACATAAATATATAATATTACACAAATATAATACGATATAATATAGAGAAATGTCGCCAACAACAACAACGTATATATAATAGAATCCTAATTTAAATTCTCAATTAGATACCTTGCGATATAGTGAAATGTCGGCTTCAGTTTATAGCTTATAACTTTGACAGCCGTTTGCATTTACATTTGATTAAATTTTGAATCTTTCATCTCAACTGCTCTTCCACTTTCCATCTATCACACACACACACACACACACACATCGCGCACGCATACGCACACACGTGCAATATCCGATTGTGGAAATGGCAATTCAATTTCCAAAATGTCATTCAATTCGGTTAGAAGCGCGCGCCGAAATATCAGGACCGCCCATACGTTATCTGACGCCGGGCTCAAGGCTTCGCCTGCAATGCCGCGTTGTACAGAATACAGAGGCATCCGAGTATATATTCTGGTATCACGACAACCGCATGATTAATTATGACATTGATCGGGGCATTAATGTGTCAACTGAGCCAGGTGAGTGCAATCACCCCTCTACCCCTCTACCCCAATCCCCACCCTACAACTGGCCCCACTTGTAGCACACTGAAACTATCATCCATTGCATTTTTGCGTCCACTTCATTGCAGACTTTCAATCATCGGAGCTTACAATTCAGCGCACACGTCGCGAGCATTCGGGCAATTTTACCTGTGTGGCCAGCAACACGCAGCCAGCCAGCGTTTTGGTACACATTTTCAAAGGTGAGTCGAGCCCGCCCAGTTTTCTATTAGAAACTTTTTATGCGCTACAGCTGTGCGTATACATAATGCAACTGCAAAACTACAATCCACGCGGATCGAACCCTAGGTCTTTGCAATTGATTAATGCGCGAAAGTTTTTACTTTGGTTTTTATTAGAATTAGTTGGTTATTGATGAATATATTTTCTATTTATTTAAATACTGTTTTCTAATTTGACTGTTTTACAGGCTATGGAAATATTTCTTTTTTTTGATACCCTCTAAAACAAACATAGACTTTTTATTCATTATTTACTAAATATATTTCTACGCTTTTTTTTATAATTTGTTGTTTTGCATACTAATATGGAAACAAGTTTTTCTTGTTGAGATTAAATGAAAATTGTTGTTGTATTTCGTATTTTAAATTGTTGCCAGCTAATTTCTTATTTATTTTTGTATATTTCATATTATTGAATAATAAATTTAGGTTCTACATTTCGCTTGCTCGTTACGAAATAAAATTAATTTCTTGCCACATTTTTTGATATTTGTCTGTGGCTTCAAAACGTTTTCGTTTTAATTAAAAAAAATTATTTCATATAAGCCAAACAGCTTTGCTAACATTATCTAACAAATGGACATTAAATATCGAACAAGTTTTGATTAATACAAATTTGGAATTGGCTGTCGATAAATGAACAGATCCGTGAATATTCAAAGCAACTGTTTAACCAAAAATAAATATAGAAACATCCATAATTTTTGCCGCTTTACTTATCTGCACCTTTCAGCTGTATATTGAATAAAGCAAAGCTGAAATGCAATTTATTATGGTAGAAAAATGAAATTTAAGCTGACAAAAAACCAAAAGTGCGACATTTGCCTACCAATACGTATATATGAATACAAATGTAGCTGTATCTGTATCTGTTACTGCATCTGTATCTGTTACTGTATCTGTTTATATTTATCTGTATCTGCATTTGTATTTGTGTAGTTATGCGTAGCAGCTCTTTTACAGTTCATATATCAAGTGACAATAAGCAACAACCATATGAAAACGAAAGAACAATAAAAGTAATTTATGAAAATTACAGAGCCACAGGCGTACGGATTAAAAATGCCCACGCCACCAAGGCGGCCATTAAAGCCAGGCCATAAACACTAAACCGTATATACACACACACACATACAGACAAGGGGCGTGACAGAGCTCATAACTTATAAGGCCAGCATAGGTTGTATTGCAAAAGCATCCGGCTTTGGGGACACTGCAAATGCTCATTAGCATTTGTTGTTTTACCTGTATGTTATGTGTGTGTGTGTGGGTGAGTGGGTGGTGCATGGCATCTGATATGTTATGTGCTCACCTGTGTGTTTGTGTGTGTGTGTGGAGCCTTAATTAATTTGAACACATTTTCTCTTGCCTCTCATGCGCACACAATTTTTTTATTGTACTCTCATTTCTTTCATACAGGCGATAATCCTGCGGCCATGTATCACGGACATGTGGGTGGCTCAACTAAAACGACGCAACGCCAGCTGCACAATTTTATGGTAATGATTGCCATCGGCTATCGGATATTCCACACAAGTGTCTATATGAGAATTGTCTAGAGGGGCTGCTGACAACTGACAACTGCCCGCAACATTTGTAACTAATTCATCAAAGCAGTAGCAGCTATAATTAAGTAAAGCCCATTAAATTCTTCAAGCAGACAACATTTAAACAGCTCTTAGCTAAGCTCGTAAATTAAACAAATTTCAAATACAACTAAAATCTCAATCTATTTAAGCGTTGCATGTGTATGTGTGTGTAATTACTTTTATATATGTATGCATGTGTGTGCGCGCGTATGAATTGATAAATGCATGTGTAAAATACAGTCGTGTTAATTGAGCCTTTCATTTGCTAGCTTCCATGTTTCTGAAGGCATCTGAATTGAGCGCTTTTCACTTTCAAGAAGCAAAGAATAAACAATTTATGAAGCTCACATAAAATCAAATAAAATATAAACATTTGCATTTATTACTGCAAAATGTATTTGAAAACAAACCCAAAAGCTGTCAGAGCTTTTATGTAAGTGATTTTAAGTCAACTTAAGCATAAAATTGGCATTAAACACTAGCAGTAATATTGACGAAAGGTAAATTAAATAATAATAAATCAAATATATATTAAAATTCAACTAACTAAACTACGTTTAATTTAAATGTACATACCGTAAATATTTAAATTTAATTTAGGCCAATGTTCCACTCAAAACGTTGATTCATTAGTTTCATAAATGCTGTAAATATATTTTTTGTTATACTTTCGTATAAGTCAAGTAAATCTTTAAGCATAAGTTATTTGCAAATATGCAAACAAAAAACCAAAACGAACAGAAAAGAAGGAAAGGGTGAAGAAAATTTCAATGTTGGTTACAGACTAAAGCAAACAAACTGTTGATGTGTAGCCACAAACAACAACTAAAAACAAGACTTTTGGCCATGTGTAAAAGTTGGTAATCAAAAAAACAAAAAAAAACAAAAGAATAAACAAATGCAGCTGCAAGGAACAGATTAATCAAAATAAACTATTATATATATATTTAAGGAATATTTAGTATTTTTAAAAAACGAGCAAATCTCTCAAACAATTCAAATAGCAAAAAAAAGAACATTTTAAAAAGTGCGCCCCCCAACAATTGCAGTGTACATAATAAATATAATTGATGTGTATGATAAAAATAACATTCAACATAATTTAAAAGAACAAAAAAACATAAATAAATAAAAAATACATGAAATGCATTGAAATAAAACAAAAAAATATTAGCTCTTAAGTATGTGTAGTTAAATGTAACAAAAATTACAAAAATCAACAAGACGAAGAAAATCAAATAAAAACATAATAAAATTATGCAAAACATAAACAAAACTTGTTCTTCCTCCAACTGGCGCGCCACCCCTCGCATCTATTTTCTATTGATTTCATGTTGTCAGTCTTAAAGCTTAGGGTTTGATTAGTTTTGCAATCTCAAGTGATCCCATTGGCACACACAAAGACCGACCGAGCGACCGAGCGACTGTCGGGTGTACAGATTGGCTTATGCATGCCCCAACAATGCCTGGCCGGAATGGCCGCAAAGAGGAAGCGAATGATAGGCGGTGGGCTGTTGGCTGTTGGCCGTGCGGCTTGTGCGGCCTGTGGGGAAGGGCCGGGCATTGTTTGCACCGCCAAGCTACTGTCAACAGGCAGCCATCAACATCAGCAGCAGCGGTCGCAGCAGCAGCAACAGCAGCAAAAGCATCAACTGGCAGCCAAACGACAAGAAGTGCAGCTCATTTTTCTTGGTGCCATTTTCTGCGCCGCCCTGTGACTTCCTCTCTGCCAGTTTTCCACCCGCTCACTCTCCTTCTAGCGTCCCTTGGCTTGGTTAATAAAACTAAATTGTGTGCTGAGAATGATGACAGCGTGGAGACAACGAGGATGACAATAAGAATCAGCCTGGGCAGCGGCAGCATCTCACAATGACGATGACTACGAGGCTGTCCCTTTGCGTCGCCTCCTCTCTCTCTCTCTCTCTCTCTCTCTCTCTATCCCTCTCTCCCTTTTCATCTCTCTCTCTCTTTGTCTTGCCTGTGGCATGCAACTCGCTGGATACACTCAATTGAAGCCTGATTAATGGACGCTTGTAAATACGAGCTGGCAAAAATCCTACCAATTAAGTTTTAACTCCAACTTCAAAGTCTCATCTTTGACTACGCTCACATTTTGACACAAGGGAAAAAAATGAAGCCAATATGCTAAATAGTTTCTGAAGAAAACTTCAAACTAGTTGCCGAAAATCGGAAAAGACCACAAAATAGTTTTCTTTCGGTTGCAAATTTCTAACTAATTCGATAGACTTAAACCTAATACGCTGCCCTAATTAAATGTGCATTTAAGACAAACTGTTGCTGGTTTTGTGGCACAAAACAACTTAAAGAGCTGCTAGCTTAAATAGCTACTCATTAGCATTGGATATTGGCTGATCAATTATTCTATTGGTGTATATATAGAAGGTTTACCTTCTGCTTTAATTTTCTGGAAGGCATTTTGAATTAATTGGTATTTAAAATTAAGTTTTTCAAATCTCATTCCGCTTAACAAAATAATGTATACAGTATGGAAAAAGAATGAACGGCTAACTTTTGGCAAGGACTTGAAGACATTTCGACATTTTGATGCATTTCTGCAAATATTTAGTAAAAATAGTGAAACTTGAAATTGCTGAGATCAGTCAATACATATTTGACAACTGAATAGAATTCCATTCATAAAGCTCGTTCAGCACCCGCTTCTATGTTTTAAGCTTTGTGTTGACAGGATTTGCACATATGATAAAACTATTAAATACCAAGTTTGGTCATGAAATCTTGAAAACCAAGATTGGTTCATACAAAAGCTGGTCGATGGATCCTATGGCAGCTTCATGACACACTGGCTCGTTTCATGATGAAATCTCTAATGCTGAGAGTTTGCTTAGTTTGCCTAGTACAGATGACCGTACAGACGATCAGACGGACATGGCCATATAATCGTGGTTGTTGATACTGATAAAGAATATAAGTATATTATTTAAGGGGTCTTTGTTCCCAAAAACATGACACTTGAATATATGCAAGCTCTTGCTTTAACCCAATTAAATCTTGTATTTAAACATCTAGAAGAGTATATACAGAGTAAGTATCTTTCATTTTATGTAACACCCAAAAGATCAAACCAGAACTGTTATGCTGCTGTCGGGCACTGATTCGCTGATTATAATAAATGGAAATATTTCAGAATGAACGTACTCAAGATATAATTCGTTTGGTATTATCATGGGATTCAATAGTTACCAATTTTTATGTATATAGAGATATATTTATATCTTTTATTCCTCTTATCAAAAACCAACAGCACACAAGCTCTTCAGCTTGTAGTCAGCATTCCTTCCTTTCAAAACAGCCCAAACCAAAAGCAAAGCTCAATATCCGGCAAAGTCTTCTTAACGCACAAATACTTTAATTTGCATTGAGCTGCTTAGAGTGGAAACTCAATTAAAAAATTGGAATACAGTTGGGAAAAGTCAATAATGGAATTGATATGCGTTTTGTTTGCGAAATCTTGAGCACAAATGAATTGCATTATTTGCGCAGAGCACACAAAATCCGCACTGACAAACGAACCGCATTAAATGCTTTGCATTTGCAGGCGAAACCCGACAGAAACCCAACCCAAAGCCAAACCAAAGCGACCCGAAAAAAAAAAAATAAAACCCAACATGAAATGCACAAAAACTGGCTTGGGGCTAAAATAAAAAACGGGGCTGAGGTGCAGAGGAAGCAGCAGCAGCAGCGGCAGCGGCAGCAGATTGTGGCAAAGTGTTTGTGAATGTGTCAATAGCCCAAAGGCAATTGCAGGCAGCAAAAATAGTTAACAGCCAGCAAAACACACATACACATACACACCGCACTCACACACGCACTCACACTCACACATCACACACATAGAGCACACGAGCTGGCAACTGTTTATACACACACGCACACACTCACATGAATATGTTTCTAATATGTGCATAAGTATTTATCAAAAGCAAAGCACACACAACACACACATACACACACAACACGCCACACACCACATACACACATATGTTGCCTGTCGCACAGCGCGCAGCTCTTTCCATGCGGCAGCGTTTCCTTTTTGCCAAGCATTCCTGCTCCCCGCCCTTTCAGCAGACTTTGGGCTATGCAAATTTCACGTATTGAGCGCCAGCCGCATTCATTTATTAGATCTAAGCGGCAAACAAGAACTTGCCACAGTTGCAAGCAGTCGCAATGCCGCAAGTCAATAATCAAAGTCAATTTCCTCTCGACTGCAGCCTTTGTGACTAGCACACTTGTTGACTTGTTTGAGCGCAACAAATTGTGGCTGCATTAAATGGAATTATGTGTTTATGAATAAAATTGATTTCCAAAAAATTGCTCAAAATATTAGCATATTTTTCTACACACATTTTGCGGCGCATTGAAGCCAAACAGTATTTTTGTTTAGCTAGTTTCTCGTTTTTGGGACGGAGGGCTGACAATTTAGCATGGTCGACTTAGCAGCGGGCCAAGTCAGGCGTGAATTTTTGGCCACGTCAACATTTAATTCAGATGAACGGGGCCTAAGGGAAATTTTACAAATGCTCACATGCAGAAGCAGTCAAATTGTGTATGTGCGAGCGTGCGTGCGATTGTGTGTATGTATTGTTGCTGGGCTGTCGGTCAAATGCGCACACACAATACTCATACGCCCCCTTGGCCAACCGAAGCCATTGTGAACTGAGCTGCTTGATGCCTGAACTGAGCTGGGCTGCTTGATGCCTGTCGTAAAAATTCCAATTTAGTTTCCAATTGCTTGACTTAAAGTGCGCCATTTGCACATTAAAACTGTCTGCGTGTGTGCGCGTCCTTGTGTGCTTGTGCATGTATGCATGTGTTTGTGCATGTATGCATGTGTTTGTGTGTGTGTGTGTGTGTGTGTGTGCGTGTGTGAAAGGCACTTCATAATCAAGTTAACGACGCACAATTATGCTACAAGCTGACAGTTTGGGCGCGGCCCATACAAATGCAAAGCAAAGCAATTTACAAGACGTTGCTCATACGCCATGTACAATGCGCCCCTCCCCCTCCAACTTCCTCCACACCCTCCCATCCATCCATTGCCAGCCGTTTTACAGGACATTTTACATTTGCACCGTTGGAATTAATTCAACATGACAGACACGTACAAGTGAAAACGGCCTGTTGAAAACGTTTTGCCAATGGTTTTATTATGGCCACGCGAATGAAATGTAATCGATAGTCGATTCGATTTGTCGATTGTTATGCCGCCGACTTTAAAGACGACCCCCACGCCCCTTGGCTCTGCTCCGTTCAAGTGGAACTCGTGCACGAAGAGTCCTCGAAGTCCAACTTGAAGCACCTAACTATTACTCTGCATTTACCCAAGTGGCCCATTAAATTCTGAAATACGAGCGGGCAATTAGTTGACATTTGAACTTGACTTGAAGCATGTAACAATTGAGGGGATTTAATTGTGCTTAAATTGCTGCAAGACTATGCCTAGGCAGTAATGAAGCGAGACAAAACATCTTATTATTTGTTAATGAAAATTAAAGCCTTTTGAGCGAGATTCCAGCCGCACAGCATAAATAATCCTCGCATTTGTCTAATCAAATTGTGGAGATGCCCATTTTGTTCAAATTTATACGGCATATTGCATGTAAACATATTGACGGATAGCCATTTTTTGAGTACATACGCCATTTGTAATTTAAAAAGTAAATTGTTTCATTTGCATTTTGAATATATAAGCTAAAGTTTGAACCAAACGCAGGGTTCAAGGTTCCGTAAAATAACCAAATTTAAAGGCAGGGAGTTGATACGAGCCTTGAACCCAACCTGCCCTAATGCTTGCACATCATTTGCATAAAAAGACTCAGTGAAACGCGCAAAAAGAAACACA